GCCAGCCCCCTGAGCGTGCGTCACTGCCACGCGGCGCACCCTCTTGCCAGCGGCGCCAAGCCGGGGTCGCATTGGAGTCAAGTCGGGCGTGTCCTTCTCCAGGAGGAAGATTCAGAAATAGTCAAAAAATCGTATGGGAACGATTTTGCTATTATTTCTTGACTATTTTCGAATCTTCTTGGAGTATTTTTGATTTTTCGTCCAGACACGCCCGACCTAACATTAGAGGGGCGATGCAGCGGCACCACGACTGCATCAGGGCCCGCCCTTCGGACGCCTGGCGCCTGGGGTCGGGCCGAATCGAGCGAGGCCGCAAACTGTCCTCGGGAATGGCCCGACGCCTTGAGCCAGGCTTGAGCCAGATGGCTACGGAGGAGGAGGAGGAGGAGGGGAGGAGAAGGAGGAGGAGCGGGATCCCAAAGAGCCAGGCTACTCTTCTCCGATCGACTCGCGATAATTGCGACGCAGGTGGGCAGAATCCGACTCGAATCCAGGCCAGTCGATGTAAATCCAGAGACCTCCACCGAAAGTTGAACATGTCCTGGCAGATCCAGCGCGAGTCACCGAGCCGCAGCAGTGGCTGGCGAATCTTCCCCCCCCGACTCCTCATTTCGAAAGCCTCATGGTCACCGCGATGAATCAGCCATGGCCCTGCGTGCCCCAGAGGGGATCTGCCACAGGAGGCCAGTCCCGTTCGCGTCCAGATTTCGGGAGAATCTCACATACTGTCCGATCCCGTCTTCCCCCTCACCAAAAAGATATCAGCCAGCGTGGACCCCCAAACAATGCGTCATTGCACCGAGGATGTGCAAGCCATGTGGTGCAAACCACGTGGTGTAAGCTGTGGTGGTGCGGCATGCGTGGTGCAGTCTGGAGGGGGCAGCGGGCGGCGACGTGGCGAGACCTCGCCGGACCCAGCTTGCGCACGAGGCGGCGACGTGCGGCAACGTGGCGAAACCTTGCGGCACCCATCCGCTTTCTTGTGAAGCATGTTGAGAACCCCTGAGTGCAATTGTCGTTTGGCGAATTGCGAAAGAACCTCAACAAAACCGGCTTCGGCGCCAAAAGAGTGGCGAGAATTGCTCGGAGAGCAGCGAAAAAGAATCGCAACAGCATCGGCTTCGGCGCCGAGCCGCGAGCGAAGGTCGTGGGGCCCTCGGCGGCGGGAGCCCCCCGCAGGGCCCGGGGAGCCGCCACGCCCCCCCCCCCCCCGCGGGCCGCCGCCGAGGAGGAGCAGCAGCTGCGGCGCGACATCGCAGAGCTGAGCGACCTCGAGGGGCACGCGGTGCGGCACCAGGAGCTCCGGGCCTCCTTCGGGGTGACCCAACGGGGGGTCCAGCGACAGAGGGGTGGTGCAACAGATTCGGTGCAAGAGAGCTGCGGGGCTGCATTTACATGTGGGGCATGCCATACACTTCGGGGCGCAAGTGTATTGCTGTACGTTCGCGCGCAATGCATTACCTGCAGTACCATGCAACACAAGTCTCCGGCGCAATACGTTTGCAATACACTTGCCCCAAATCTATTGCACCACCCCCTTTCAGCTGGACCCCCTTTTGGGCCACCCAGACTCCTGGATCGGGGGTGGACACACCTCCTACCCTGACACGTCGACTAGCGAATTGGCCGTTTTGGGTTCGCGAGAGGGCGTCGCGGCCGTCATTTGTGCGGGTCCAGGTCCGTCGGGTCCGGTCCCAGGCTGTTTTCATTAAAGGGTGGTTTACTGAAGGGAGGTCTGTCCACCGCCGACTGGCAATTTGCTGCACGCAGGCGGCGCCGATGCATCGCCGACGTCGCCAGTGCAGCGCCCTTGCATCGCCGATGCATCGGCGACGCATTGGCGATGCGGCGCGGTCCTTCGACCCCATCTACTCGGACCCCATGTAGGAGGCCTCTAGGAGCGCCCCTCGGGGTTATGAGGATCGAGGCTGCTCAGAAGGTCGAGTAGGGGATCGACTGCAGGAGTGAATTGCCCCATGATTGATCTGTTAGCGAGGTGTTGTGCGGGATGTCTTGTGCGGTGTTGTGTCGGCTCTGTCTTGTGCGAGGTCTTGGCCGCACTGGCGGGCTCGTACTCGCACACCTGGTGGGCAAACGCTTCTCTCTGCACACGTCGTCTTTTGCGCGTCTGAGCGCGACCACTCTTCGAGTACGTTCTTTTTGACTCGGCAGAAATTTCAATTTTGGGGCGATCCCCTCGAGAAGGGCGGAGGAGGTTCGAGGGCCGAGGCCTCGGCAATTTTTTGGCGTTCGAGGGCCTCCTGACGGGGTCCCTCGTCGCCCCGGATGGGTACGCCTCGAAATTCGTGTCAGGAAGCACCCCTTTCGGGGGCGGCCACGAGGGGGGGTGATGACTGGGGGCGGGTGGTTATCATGGAGGGGCCATGATATATCCCCTGATTTCATGGCCCTCCTCCTTATTTCATTACGTGCCTGCCCCCCGCCCCCCCCCTGGGCCGAGGACGTGAAGGAAGTTCCAGGGCTCAACCGAATTGGGAAGCGAAGCCGGCGAGGAGATATGTTGATCAATGTGCGCTTACCCATTGGTTTACGGCTTGCTAACGCATGTGGTGCTGGTGGGAACCAGAAATTGTGGATGTTTAAGAACGGCACGAAGCGCAAGCAGCTGGACTTCACCATTCTTCCGATCAGAATGCAGGCCGACATAAATAGTGCAAGGTCATACCTGCTATTGATACGGGATCCGATCACCGGCATATCATGATAATATTGGCTGTGAGACCCCGAGAACTTCGGAAACCTCGCGCTACAGGACGTCCGGGGGGACCAGGAGTGGACAACAACACATTCAGAGAGACTTTGGACCGCCAGATGATTGAACGATCATTCGATACGCACGACTTTGATGCAGCCTCACGCAGGATAGAAAGACCTTACCGCAGCTGTCCAAGCAGCGAGCCCGCCGACGAGGACACGGATTACGGATGTCCCAGAGGACCACCCTATTCGCCAGTTGATTCAAGAGGGACGGCAATTACGGCATCTTTTTGGTGTTTGTACGGGAGGTGCAGAAAGCAAGACGGAAATCGATAAATAACGAGATCAAGAAGTTGATCCGGTGAAAACTGAAGAACCACGCATAGAAAGCCTTCTGCGTGACTTCGAAGGGCGCAGGGTGATTACAGATCCGAATGGCAACAAGAAGCGGCAACACATTGCAAGAGTTGTTGATCAGCATGACATCCCAACGGAGAGCACTGATAATGTGGCAGAGGTGTTTGCGTCGTTTTACGAGGACCTTTGACACGAGCAGCGGGGATAGAGTCGCGGCGGAACCATCTGGCGAGCAAAGTCAGTCTTTCACGTTGGAGGAGCCCACGAGTGCCTTAACGACGATCAGAACCAGAAAATGCAAAGACACAGCGGGCAGTGTGGTAGAGATGCTGAAGCATAACAGCCCGAACGTGCGCGCATGAATTCTGTCTCTTTTCAATGAAGTCATTGAGCCAGACCGAGAGCCGCCGGCCTCGTGGAGACATACACGTTTGGTTGTTCTGTTCAAGAAAGGCGACCCAATGATCCTCAACAACTATCGCCCCGTAGCTGTTTTTCTATGATGTAGAAGCTCTTCAGTCTCATGTTTGCAACCGCTTGCAAGCGAAGCTTCTCGCGAGCCAGCCGCCGGACCAAGCAGCTTACCGACCTAGCTGTTCGACAGAGGATCACCCGCATGCGCTGGCGCTAATAGTGTAGAAATGGGACGATTGGCAGCAAAGCCTATGGATCGGTCTGGTTGACCTCGAGAAAGCTTTTGACACTGTGGAACGTAAAGCATTATGTGGCGTGCTTCGGGAGCTTGGCGTGGAGGAGCCATATCCGGAGCCAGACGGCCTGAGTCAAGGCGGGAGCGGAATCTCGTCCATTCGTTCTGGCCAGTGGAGTCAAACAGGGTTGCCCAGCAATCGCTCTTCATGTCATCGCCATCATGAATTCTGTTCCAAGTCGCTGAAGTTCAAGTGTATCCACTTGAAGAACAGGCGCATTCTGCAATCTCTTGTTTTCGTCGTTAACGATCCGGAATAGCCCCTTACCAACTTCAGGTTTGCCGATGACGTAGTCTTTTTTCGCACAGAGCAACGGCGACGTTGCGAAAATGCTAAGTCACTTGCGAATTCACGCTGGCCGGCATGGGATACGGATGCATCTGGCCCCCGCGCTTGCGAAGATCCAGCGCGCATTCTGCTCCGGAAGATACCCTGTGACATCGAGGTTGAAATTGTTCAAATCAGCGGTGATTTCGACGGCGCCCCACTGGAGCTCGCGCTGGGCAGTTTGGGCTAGCACGCGCCAGATATCGCTATCAACGCGGAGACAGATGATGCGCGAGACCTCCCATATCTCACGTCGCGTCGAGGAGATGCGGCACGCTGCGTCAACAGATCAAACAGATCGCGCCCACGCAAGGCTGGAGAATTTGGCTCGCGCGATTTGGCTGGGCCCAGCAGTCGCGGAAGCCAGAGGTATTCTTCGCTTGTGCGACGGCGGGTTCAATCTATTGAACAAGAGGCCTGCTCCTCGGACGCCGCGGCCCCGAACGCGCCTCGCCAGGCGACCGGGGCGTCCGCGCGGGCGATGGGCTGACATCTGAGTTGTTGTTCCAGTGCGCCATGCAACGCAATCTCCTCGCTCGGTCTGCCCAGGCGCTGTTGCTCGCGCGCCGCGGGGGGCCCGGCCCGCCGCGGCCGGTCTGGAGGCCGCTCTCTGCCTCCCCGACCCCCCTGGGCCGCGCGCGCGCCGCCGGCCGCGACGCGCGCCCCCCCCCCCCCCCTTTCTCGGACGCCCCCCTCGTGGACGCCCCCCAGAAGCGCGCCCCGGGGGGTCTGGAGGTCGATTCCCCAGGCCCGCCGCGCAGGAACAGGCGGCCGTCCGAGATCGACTGAGGATGAAGAGCTGGTCCTGGAGGAAGGCCCCAGGTCGCGGGCCCCTTGCCTCCTGGGCCAGCATTTCTCACGCCAGATTGAAATGCGCCTCGGGATCGAGGCTGCCCGGGAGGATCGAGGGTCGAGCTTCGAGGGGGGCCGGGCCTCTTGGGGGCTTCGGGCGCCGCGGCGGGATCGCCTGGAAATCGCCGGCCGGGCTGCGGCCGAGAGGCCCGCGGTGCTCCGGCGCGAAAGGCGCCCCTTGGCGAGCCGACGGCTCGGGGAGGCCGCGAAGCAATGTCGCCGCCAGCAGCGTCGCCGTCAGCCCCAGACCTCCGAAGATTTGAGCTCGCGTCTAAAACCCGCTGAATCGTAGTCGGATGCTGGAGCATTTGCGCTGCCAGTGGCGCGCTGTTTTTCATCGCGGGATTTTCTGCTGAGGGTCGGGGGCGACGTTGGGGCGGCGCGGCGCGCGCTCGCCGTTTCCGTTCCCCGGGGAAAGAACGAAGAACGTGCGCGCTGGGACCCCGCATCCACCAGGGCCCGCCATCCCGCGCAAGCGTCAGCGCAGGGCCGCGGGGCAAGCGTTGGCGCGCAGAGCTCGTTCTTTTCTACGCGGCACCCCCCTTCCCCCCTGGGACCCCGAACGTCATCAATGCGCCGCCGAACGAATGTCGGTTTAGCCCCCCATGGCCCCCTGGAAAGATTCGACGGCCAGGGGTCGGTGCTATGTATATATATATATATATATATATATATATATGCATGTATACGTATATATATACACACACATGTACCTATTCGACCACCCTTCGGGCGATACGGAGGTCGTGGGGGGGAACCGACATCTGACTCAACCGATCTCACTCGACGGGACACCACGGGACACCACGGGCTACTTGTCGATCTCACTCTCGATCTCATTCAACGGGCCACCACGGGACACCGCGGGACACCTCTCGATCTTACACAGCGGGGCACCATAGGGCACCACGGGACACCTCGGGGCACCGCATCGATCTCATGATCAATCTCACGATCGATCCCACTATCGATCCCACTCAACGGGACACCACGGGACACCTCGGGACAACTGTCGATCTCACTATCGATTTCACTTAGCGGGACACCACGGGACAATTCGGGGCACCACATCGATTTCAGTACCGATATCACGATCGATCTTACTCAACGGGACACATCGGGGCACCACATCGATCTCAGTATCGATTTCACGATCGATCTCACTCAACGTGGCACCGGCGGGACACCGCGTGCCGCCGGCCGCTGGAGGAGAAACATTGGGTCCGGCCGCGGCCCAGCCACAGGAGGATTTCGGGACGCCAGCGGGACACCGCGCGGCACCAGCAGCTGGAGGAGCAACATTTGGTCCGGCCGCGGCCGAGCCACAGGAGGATATCCTCGCCCGCCCGCGCAGCTTCGCCTCGCCCGCACGCACGGCACGCACGACACGAACCCGAAACCGAAATCGATTTCTTGGTAGGGGGGGTCTCCGTTTCACGTCGGACTCACCTCCCAACCTCCGATGCATAAATATGTGCACATACATACACTCATACATAAATACGCACATACATTGTGAAGGCCTCACGGCCGGCGCCGCCGACCCGAACCCCCCCCCGGGGCCCCCGCTGGCGCCTACCCCTTGTCCCTCTACAGGCGGATTCTGGACGAAAAATAAGAAATAATCCAAAAATGCAACAACAAAAAAGTCAAAAAAATCGTGCCCACGCTAATTTGTGTCTGTTTTTGAATATTCCTCCTGTGCAGGGACTGGCCCGACTCAAATCGAGCATCGAGGAGGGGGTCCTCCAGCCTCGATCGTCGAGGAGCTTCGTCGCGCGGCGGTGGGCCTCGCTTTTTCGAGGGGCCGCCCTGCGGCCGGCAACTCCGAGGCTGCTGTGGCAGGATCTCAGAGGCAACGACAGGGGAGGACAGGCATAGAGAAGGTTCGGCTTCGATCGGATAAACAAACAAAAAACATAAGCATAAACTTTTGGCGCTCCGCGCGGAATTCTTGGATCCGCGCCTGGGCCCCCCCGCGGCGCCTCCGGCGCCCCTCCCTGGCGCGCTCCGCGCGCCAGGGAGGGGGGTCCAGCGCGAATCCATGAAATCCGCGCGGAGCACCAAAAGTTTTTGTTTATGTGGTTTGTTCTTCTTCTGGATAGTGAGGGATAGGCATAGGGAAGTTTCGGCTTCGAGGTTCGAGGCTCGAGGTGTTCCCAACCATCCTGTTGTGTTGGGTCCTCATTCTGAAGAGACAGCGCCCCGCGTTCTCCTCCTGCTCTCCTCTCCTCCTCGCGCCCCTTCCTCCGATTCCTGCCGGTGCCCTCCAACCAGTCAACAATTTTGGCACACCCCTCACACGTTTCGTGGCTCCATAGGGAGACCCACCGAAGGCCCAAATGCCAGCGTTCGCATGCGGCCACCGCACCCAGTTTGGCACACCCCTCACACGTTTCGTGGCTCCATAGGGGAGCCCCACCGAAGGCCCAAATGCCAGCGTTCGCACGCGGCCACCGCACCCAGTTTGGCACACCCCTCACCCGTTTCGTGGCTCCATAGGGAGCCCCACCGAAGGCCCAAATGCCAGCGCTCGCACGCGGCCACCGCACCCAGTTTGGCACACCCCGCACACGTTTCGTGGCTCCATAGGGAGCCCCACCGAAGGCCCAAATGCCAGCGTTCGCACGCGGCCACCGCAACCAGTTTGGCACACCCCTCACACGATGCGTGGCTCCATAGGGAGCCCCACCGAAGGCCCCAATGTCAGCGTTCGCATGCGGCCACCGCAACCAGTTTGGCACACCCCTCACACGCTTCGCGGCTCCATAGGGAGCCCCACCGAAGGCCCAAATGCCAGCGTTCGCATGCGGCCATCGCAACCAGTTTGGCACACCCCTCACACGATGCGTGGCTCCATAGGGAGCCCCACCGAAGGCCCAAATGCCAGCGCTCGCATGCGGCCACCGCACCTAGGTTGGCACACCCCGCACACGTTTCGTGGCTCCACAGAGGGCCCCACCGAAGGCTCAAATGCCAGCGCGCGCATGCGCCCACCGCACCCAGTTTGGCACACACCTCACACGTTTCGTGGCTCCAAAGGGAGCCCCACCGAAGGCCCAAATGCCAGCGTTCGCATGCGGCCACCGGACCCAGTTTGGCATACCCCTCACACGTTTCGCGGCTCCGCAGGGAGCCCCACCGAAGGCCCAAATGCCAGCGTTCGCATGCGGCCACCGGACCCAGTTTGGCATACCCCTCACACGCTTCGTGGCTCCGTAGGGAGCCCCACCGAAGGCCCCAATGCCAGCGTTCGCATGCGGCCACCGCCAACCAGTTTGGCACACCCCTCACACGATGCGTGGCTCCATAGGGAGCCCCACCGAAGGCCCCAATGTCAGCGTTCGCATGCGGCCACCGCAACCAGTTTGGCACACCCCTCACGCTTCGTGGCTCCATAGGGAGCCCCACCGAAGGCCCAAACGCCAGCGTTCGCACGCGGCCACCGCAACCAGTACACTAAGCATACCCGGTTGGGAGGAGGCGGCGCCCCAAACGAAGGCCCAAAACGACAGCGTTCGCATGCGGCCACCGCAACCAGTTTGGCACACCCCTCACGCTTCGTGGCTCCATAGGGAGCCCCACCGAAGGCCCAAACGCCAGCGTTCGCACGCGGCCACCGCAACCAGTTTGGCACACCCCTCACACGATGCGTGGCTCCATAGGGAGCCCCACCGAAGGCCCCAATGTCAGCGTTCGCATGCGGCCACCGCAACCAGTTTGGCACACCCCTCACACGACGCGTGGCTGCCAGGAGCCCACCGATAAGGCCGAAGTTGGCTGCGTTCGCATGCGGCCACCGCACCCCAGTTCGGTTACACCTTCACACGATCGCCGGCCCCATAGGAGCACCCCCACACTCCCGGCCCAAATGCCAGCGTTTCGCATGCGGCCACCGCACACAGTTTGGCTACAACCTCACACGTTCAGTAGCTTCTTTTTTTTTCAAAAAAAAAAAAAAAAGGGAGCCCCACCGAAGGCCCAAATGCCAGCGTTCGCACGCGGCTACCGCAACCAGTTTGGCACACCCCTCACACGCTTCGCGGCTCCATATGGAGCCCCACCGAAGGCCCAAATGCCAGCGTTCGTTTGACACACCCCTCACACGTTTCGCGGCTCCATAGGGAGCCCTACCGAAGGCCCAAATGCCAGCGTTCGCATGCGGACACCGCACCCATTTTGGGACACCCCTCACACGCTTCGTGGCTCCGTAGGGAGCCCCACCGAAGGCCCAAGTGCCAGCGTTCGCATGCGGCCACCGCACCTAGTTTGGTACACCCTTCACACGCTTCGTGGCTCCATAGGGAGCCCCACCGAAGGCCCCAATGCCAGCGTTCGCATGCGGCCACCGCACCCATTTGGGCACACCCCTCACCCGTTTCGTGGCTCCATAGGAAGCCCCAACCGAAGTCCCAAATGCCAGCGTTCGCACAGAGCCTATCGCACCCACTTTGGCACACCCCTCACACGTTTCGTGGCCACACAGAGGGCCCCACCGAAGACTCAAATGCCAGCGCGCGCATGCGCCCACCGCACCCATCTTGGCACACCCCTCAAACGTTTGGTAGCCCCAATGGGAGCTCCACCGAATGCAGTGCACACAGCGAAGGTATTCACAACTGCATATGGTTGGGTCCTTCGCCAGGCTAATTTGGGTGCTTCCGTCGATTCTCGGCGGTCTTCTGCCCCCCCGGGGTGCCTCCCAGCAGCAGCGCCTCGCCGAGAGCGCTCTGGGGGTGCTGGTCTCCCCCGACGATCGTCGGTCGAGCTTGCCTCGGGGCGCCCCCGTGGCCAGGAGCGTCGGTGGAGCTTGCCGTCGGTCGCCCTCTGCCTCGCGCGCGGCAGGAGGCCGTCGCCGCAGCCTCCGAGGCGCACCGGGCGAGCCAGGCGGCGGCCATCGAGGCAGCGGAGGCGCGCGCGCGCGGGGCGGCGGCGGCGGCGGCGCCGGCGGCGGCGGAGGAGGCTCCAGAGGAGGAGCAGATACAGTGGAGGCCCATGCCAAGAAACACCCTGCTCGCCTCCAGGGTGTGCTGGGTTTCTTAGGCTACGACGGTTTTTTCGCTATGGAAAGCGTGACGCTCCCACGCCAAGAAAATCAGTGGACGTCCTGGGGTCTCAGGGTTGGGTTTCCTGTGGAAGGTTTCTCGTCGGAGGGTCCCCACTGCACTGGCAGAGCAAGGGCTGGGGCCTGGAGGCCGGTCCTGGGCGCGGGAAGAGATCAAGCCTCAGAGGAGGAAAGGGGACAGTGCCGTTTTTTATACATGTTCCGCGTGCGGATCATGTATCAAGAACGCAGGGATTTAGTGTTAAAACAACGATGAGTGAGTCCATGCATAGATTTGTTCATACATTGATCATGTATTAAAATCCCATAGTTTCGAAAATCCCATGTATTAAAAACTGCCCTGTGCCGATGCCCCCTGCTGGCGCCACAAGCTGTTGCTCTGCGGCTCGCCCCAGGAAGAGGGCACCGATGCCGCTGTCCCTGCCTCGCTTCCCCTTGTTGGGGCCTCCTGGGGAGGCCCTCGTCGCCACCGCCGGATTCGCCTCGAGAGTCTGGCAAGAGCGCACCCCAGGAGGAGGAGGAGGAGGAGGAGGAGGAGGAGGAGGAGGAGGAGAGGAGGAAGGAGGAGGAGGAGGAGGAGGAGGGGCGAGGAGGAGAAGGAGGAGGAGAGGAGGGGAGTCGGAGGGATGGAGGAGGGAGGAGGAGGGAGGAGGAGGAGTGGATGGAAGGGAGGAGGAGGGGAGGAGGAGGAGGGGAGGAGGAGGAGGAGGAGGGAGGAGGAGGAGGGAGGAGGGAGAGGGAGGAGGAGGCGAGAGGAGGAGGAGGGAGGAGGAGGAGGAGGAGGGGCGGAGGAGAGGAGTAGGAGGAGGAGGAGGAGGTGGGGGGGAGGGAGGAGGAGGAGGAGGAGGAGGAGGAGGAGAGGAGGAGGTGGAGGAGGAGGAGGAGGAGGAGGAGAGGAGGAGGAGGAGGGGAGGAGAGGAGGGAGGAGGGAGGAGGGAGGCAGGAGGAGGGGGGAGGAGGGGAGGAGGAGGAGGGAGAGGGAGGAATGGGAGGAGAGGAGGAGGAGGAGGAGCGGAGGAGGAGGAGGAAGTAGGGAGGAGGAGGAGGAGGAGGAGGAGGAGGAGGAGGAGGAGGAGGAGGAGGGGAGGGGGAGGAGGAGGAGGAGGAGGAGGAGGAGGAGGAGGAGGAGGAGGAGGAGGAGGAGGCAGGAGGAGGAGAAGGAGGAGGGAGGAGGTCACGGGAGTGGTGGTATGGTATCTCTTGGTCCCCTAAGGCAGAGGAGGGAAACGATGTACGACGCCGCTTGCTCGACCGGGAAGCGCCGGCTCTCCTTGGCCCGCCTATGGGGAAAGCCTCGTGAGGGCCGTCCTGAGGCCCATTTGGCCGTCGACGTTTCCTCCTCCTCTCCTCCTCCTCATCCCCTCCCTCTACTCCCCTTCCCCCTCCCCCTCCCCTCCTCCTACTCCTACCCGACCTCTCCTCCTCCTATCTCATCCTCCTCACCCTCCTCCCTCCTCCCTTCCTCATCCCCTCACTCCCTCGCCTCATAGCCCCCCCCTATCCTTCCTCCTCCTCCTCCTCCTCCTCAAGCCATCCTGGCCGTCCGGAGGCCATCTTGGGCCGTCACCCTGGCTCTCTTGGATAGGGGAACGAAGAGTGGCATAAGCATAAAAACTCGGAGGTCCGCGCGGGTTTCTCGGATCGGCACTGGACCTCACCCTCCCTGGCGCGCGGAGCGCGCCAGGGGCGGCGCCGGAGGCGCGGCCGGGGGGGCCCAGCGCCGATCCGAGAAATCCGCGCGGACCTCCGAGCTTTTATGTTTATGCCACTTTTTGTTCCCCTAATCCTGGCCGTCCGGAGGCCGAAACGAGCGCCAGGGAGCAAATTCGGGGCGGGGGGATGCTGCAACGACGTCTGCGGGCACGAGGGGGGACACGCCCACTCCGTGCAGGCACGGCGGCGGATCGAGCAGTGCAGTTCAGGCGGCGGCTGCTCCCCCGGCGGACGGCCGGGACGAGAGGACCTCCAGCACTTGCGGCAGGAGGGCCGTGAGGATGAGCCCTAAGAGGAGCGCCAAGACCGAGGGAGCGCCTCCGCACGCCCGGCGGGGCCCCCGCTGGGCCCCCTGGGGGCCGCCAGGGAGGGGCCTCGGCATGGAAGGCCCGCCCCGGGGAGGCGGTCGGGGTTCCCAGGGGCCCCGTGGGAGCAGAGGAGGGCCCAGGATTCTTCTGGGGGCGTTGGGCCGTTCTGGCGGCCCTGCGGCGGAGGTCCGTCATCATTGCCGCCGGACTTCCCTCGTGCTCCCATGTTTGTGGGGCCTCCTCCTCGGAGGCCCTCGTGGCCAGCTCGAGGTCCCAGTCAGCACGCACCCCGGGCAAAGGAGGCGCCCGCGCAGGCAGCCGTCGGTCGGTCGGGGTCCAATCGGGCAGAGCTCGGCCAGCACGGAGGGTACGCAGCCTGCCCTCGGCAGGCTGGGAGGGCGCCGGCTGCCCCGACCCCCCCCGGCGCGGCGATAGTGCTGCAGCCGGCGCGGACCCCAAGAAGGGCATCGCGCTCGGAGGGCAGCGCTTGCTGCCTGGCATCGCTCGGACGTGTGCATTTTTCCTTCGGCGAGGACCATCGAGGAGCATCCTTGATTATTTCGCGAAAAAACCACGCACGAAACCGAAAAAAACACGGGGAATGGACGTCCGAGCGATGGCGAGGCTGGGAGTGGGGCCCTGAGGGGAGGGTGGCCTTGTCTTGGCCGCTCGGGCTCTGGACGGTGGCACCGCACGGGAACCGCGCCGAAGAGAGGGCCTGACTCACGCTCGCTGGACGCAACGATACGGAGGCGCTGGCAAAAAAGTGCACAGCAGCATCTTGACTCCACTGCGCCCCTTTATTGTGGGTCTAGTCGGGTTTCGCCAGCTGTCTTGACATGCGGTCGGACACATGCTGTCCCCCCGAGGCGGTGATCTGTCTTGGCATGCAATCGGACACGTGCTGTCCCCCCGAGATGGTGATGGTTACGCACATGTTGGGACCCATGCTGCCATGTATGGCCTGCAGAAGAAAACAGTGTAAGCATAAACTTCGGGATGTCTGCGCGGCTGTCTCGGATCGGCGATGGACCGCGCGTGCACCGCCTGGGGACTGCGCGCGGTCGCGCTGAAGCCGCGTCCTGCGAGGCGCAGGGTCCGGCGCAGCGCTTCCCATTGCTGGAGCTTCATGCTGGCACGAGGGAAGCGGCAGCGTGATCAGGCTTTTGCTCAGAGGAGGTCGAGTTGAGACAACGGTTCGGACGTGGCTAGGACGAGGATAAATCCATTCAAGAGCGTTCCGGCACGCTCTCAGAGCGTTCTGGAACGCTCTGAGAAGGCTGCGGCGCCCGATACGTACATCCTCCAGATCCGCCGGATCTCCGAGATTCCCGATTTATCCTCACCCAATTCAACAGCGTTCCCGAACGCTCTCAGAGCGTTCCGGAACACTCTGAGCAGGCTGTGGCGCCCGATGCATCTTCCAGATCCGCCGGATCTCCTCGTCTTGGCTGCGTTTTAGCGGTAGTCCGCCCCCTCCTCCTCCTCCTCGTCCTCGCCCTCATCCTCTCTTCCTCCTCCTCGTCCTCGTCCTCCTCCTCCTCCTCCTCCTCCTCCTCGCCCAATGTTATCCTCGTCCTGGCTTCGGCTCAGCGGCGGTTAGCCTTCGCGTGGGGTCCCTGGTCGCCCCTGGCTGGGCGGAGCTCGGCGAGCTGGTGCGGCTGGACTCCTGGACCCTGGAGGAGAGAGCCAGGGACCAGTCGTGGGCTGCTGGTGTCTCCATTTGTGCCCTGCTCGGCCACGCGCAGAAGGGGGAGGGCAGGGGGGAAGGCTTCTTAGAAGCGGCGGGCCTTGTCTGTAGACGCGAGGCCCGCGCATTCTAAGAAGCAGCCTCCTTCTCAGAAGCCTTCCCCCCCTCCCCCCACCCCCCCTGTGCGCGCCGCCAACCTGCTCCGATCCACAGAGTCGAACATGGAGATTGCGACGTGCTTCTGCGTTTCTGGCCTCCGGGGGCAGGCTTCGGCGGCTCGGACGAGGGGCCGGTCCCGGGGAGCGGGCCGACAGATCCGGGGCCCGAGGCTCCAAGGATCGGGTCGCCGGAAGCATGGGCTCACAAAGGTGGCCACGTTTCTCATTACAAACCCCTCGCCCTCAGGAGGGAAAAAAACACAGACACAATTAGTCGTCCATCCCCAGGAAAATATTGGAAAATATGGGCAGTGGGGGGGAAGACGAAAACCCAAAAAATATGAGAAAATATAGGAAATCTTTTTATTTGTGTGTATCTATTTGTGTGTCCTGGGGCCCCTTCACGCCCTCTGGCGCGAGTCTCTCCAGGCCACGCGTCCCGTCTTGTTCTCGAGAGAGGCGGCACGGCACACGGTCCCGCGGGCCGTCTTCCAGCTTCTCCGTGACTACCAGCGCGGGCACCCACCGTGGGATCGGTGGAAGAGGGCTTGCTCGTAGGTGGAAGCGATGGCTTGCGCAACGCCACAGGGGGAGCGCGGAAGAGGAGCGACGTCTCTCCGAGTGCGTGCGCGGGTGCAAGACGTGTTTCATATTGTGTGTTGTGTGTCTATGTGGCCCCGCAGAGCACGTGATGTTGTATCATGCGGGCAGGCGTGGGGATGCGCCTGTCTCTGTTTGTCAAGAGGGATGTTTGCGTTCAGAGTCTGAAGCTTGCGGGTTCGGTATCCACCAGTTGGTCTTCGAGAGCATTTCCACATACCTGTCATTTAATAATGTGCATACACATTCACATCCATATAATGTCAGCCTGTGATTAGCAAATAATGCCCCGCCCTGGGCTGATGAACGCACCCCGCGGGGCGCGAGACAATCTCTAAATCAGCCGCGCCAGGGTGTCGTCGCGGGCGCCACCGGAGTGATCGCGGACCCCCCTTGCACGGCAGCCTCGAAGCGATTGTTTTTCGGATTGTAGTTGTAAGGATCGTATACATCAGGGGCGAAGTTTTTTCCTTCTCAGGCTGGTGGTAACGTGCCACACTGT